TGATATATGTTTTAACCTTGATATTTGTTTGAATATTTTCATAGTAATATACTAGAATAATAACCAGAAAGAAAAATATGCTGATATGAAGAACTATAGCAATGTTGCACAGAATGACTCTAATACTACCAATGGAGAGAAATCATTGACTCTAAAATACACTTTATCACTGTCATACATTCTTACAACGATGAAATTATACAACTGTATAATTTGTATATAACTGCTTGCTTTAAAAGTATGACACTTTAGCCATCACATGTCATTTATCGTAAGGACACAATAAAATAACTTGGCATTTGTTAGGCAATTGCATTTCAATCAAATTGATGTGTACTCGAGTGATTAATTCTAGTGTTATTGTTATTGTCAGAACATAAAGGTCTGTTCTAACATGCTCAGATTAGTGTAATAAAATTTTTACCAAAAATGTCAGTTTTCCCCCTACCAGCTCTAATTCCTAAGCTATTTCTTCTCCATCCTTATTATGGCTACATTTTTAAGTTACAGTAATGGCAAAAATAAATATAAATATAGATTTTAAATAAATACTATGTACAATTTTGGGCTAGAGAAATATCAAATTGAGTGTAAAAGCATTGTTTACCCAAGGTTAAAAATAATTCATTCGGGAGGCAAAAGAACTCTGTTTTATATCTGCCACTAACTGGTTGTATGACTTTATACAAATCAATGCAATTTAAACCCATGATGACATACATGTACTTAATAGCCACAATGGTCACTTTGCTTCTTCCAAATCTCAGTTTTTTACTTTCAATTTTGATTGAATTATTTCTCAGATATTTGCCCATTTTGAGCCTTATTATTTTCCTTCTGTAAAACAAATACAGCTTGACTAAGTTTTTATCTAGTGGTATTCTAGGCACAGTGCTAAGTGTTCAGTGGGTAAAGGTAAATAGAATGGGATAGTCCCCTTTACAGAGTTCACAGACCAATCAATAAACAGGCATCTGATCTGTAAACCATTGTTATATAGCAGTAAGTACCATGGGCGAACAGCCTAGAAAAGGAACACATGACCCAGTCTGGTTATAGAGAGAAGTCATGGAAGTTTCTGTTTGCTCCATATCTAAGTTGAATCTAAAAGAATAAGAAAGGGTTAGCCTCCTATGAGGTGGAAAAAAAAAGTCTATCAAAAAAAGCTGGGAACTGTTGCTAAGGACTGAGTGGGAAGATGAGGGAGAAAAGGCTGAGAAAGAAGCAGTGAGAGGACTCTTCCACATGTATCTCTGTGAGAGTGGATGACTGACACTACTCCTGTCCTGATCTACAAAGGCATAAATTGGATTATGTTAAATTTTGGTTAAAAAGTAGAATCTACACCTTAGTTTTGGTGTGGTTCACCCAATATATGAATCCCTGAAGCACCCTGAGGTTATTAGCAAAATATTTCTTTACCATTAGGTAAAGAAAGATCAGATGCATTTATCCACAGCACCAGCAATGTATTAATAACCGACTGCCGCCAGAGGCCAGAACATCAGCAAGCTTCAATAATGAATCAAAACAACAGTAACAGCAACTGCAGCACCTTCAATTGCTCACTATATATTGAGTACCAAAGGGAATATATGAATTGCTCTATGCGTTTCAAAATACAGTCATTCCTCCATACCTAGGATCACCTCCAATTCCAGAATCTGCAGATGCTCATTCTCTGATATAAAATGGCATAGTATTTGCATATAACCTATGTATATTCTTCCATATACTTTAAATCACCTTTAGAATACTTATAATACTCAACACAATGTAAATGCTATGTGAACAGTTGTTACATTATATTGTTTGGAAATTGATGAGGAAAAAAAAAGACTGTATGAGTTTAGTACAAACATATTTTTGTTCCAAATATTTTCAATCCCCAATTGGTTGGATTCATGGATGCAGAACCCATGGATGAAGGCCTGACTATATGCTATTTCAGTGAATTCTCACACTCCTATGAGATTGAAACTACATTTTTTAATATTTTCACATTACAGATAACGACATTAAAACACAGTAAAGATACTATAATTTTTCAAATATTTCATAATTAGTAAACCTGAGCTAAAGTTGTCTGTTTTCACTTTCAAAGTTTTTTCCACTCTGAAACTCCACATAGTCTTCCAATCCCAGCTTGTCACCAAGATCACTGGAGAGGGTTGGAAAGAAAACCAAGTTCCAAACCCTTGCCCAAGGTTTACAAAATCAGAATTTGTGCTGTGGATCCATAGTATCCGAAATTTTTAAAGAGCTCCATAATTCTGATGATCACCCTGATTTGGAAATGACTGGCCAATTTTAATTTAAGCTAAATGTAATCCATTAAAAAGTAGGAAAGTTTTGAGTTAACATTGTGTGGGGAGACTAGAGCATTGTGAATGATAATAACCTAAGCAAAATGGCCTCCTACAATCTCAGTATGCATTTGGATCATATTTGAAACATGCTCAAAATGTGTAGACCAAGTGATGACATTCTCAAATTATCAAAGCTTTTTTTTTTTAATGTAATGCTGATGCTGTTGTTCCATGAAGTATACTTTGAATGGCAAGGTCATAGACTCTTAACTTATTAACAACAGGGATCTTTTTGTTTCAATGACTTGAGTATATACCTAGCACAAAGCAGCAGGTGTTTTTATATATTTATTGAATAAATGACTCTCCCCTCTCCTCCAAGAAGAATTCCTCCATCTGACTAAGACTTTTGTTTGTACTTTCCCTAAAATCTCTGTACAGATATGCTACATCCTTCTCAGCACTTAAATAGTATATTGAAGTGGAGAAAAACGTCTTTGTTCCTTCTTTCTTTTCATGGATAACCTTGAGAACAAGGTTTGTATCATTTTCTGTATGTATTATTAGTATCGAAGACAGTGTTCAGAACATAAAAGGCCTTTAGGAAACGTGTTTTTTTTAAAAAAATAAATAATTAGTAAATGCAAAACCTGCTTTTTCTCCCCCAGAGTGGGAATTGATCTCCCACTGACATGTAGTTCCCTAAATCCAAGTACGATCACAAATTCTCCAGAGAGTAGAGGAAGAGGTAAAATGCCAGTATTAAAGAAAAAAGAGAAATGGGCGTCTGTGAAGGTACACCTTGACACAGAAATTCACACACAGCTTCATCCTTAGCTCAGCCACAGGAGTGCAAAGAACTCAGCAAATGAGGAAATGTCTCCCTAGGACCAGACTCAATACATCAGCAGTTGTCATTTTCAACTGGTGCGTTTTGTCATGGAAGGCAGCCACTTTTCCAGGCCAGAATTTGTTTGGCCACTGTCAAGGTCATGGTCCATTCTCAGATCTGGCACTGAGTCCAGATCCTGGCTTCTCAAAGTGGATTAGGTGGGCACTTGGAGGCGTGCTTTGGCTGCACTCCCAATTCTCATACCTAAAGAATGGTGTTGTCCTCTGAGGACAGCTGCCTCTCAGTCCCTCTTTGGATCTGAGTCAAGCTCCCTGACCTTAGGCCTGTGCACTATTTCAGAAATTGCAATTGCCCATGCCTGCCCCCTACAGCAATAAGCTGTGTGTCATCATCATCATAAGTATATTCTGGCAGGAAGTACATAAGTTAACCTGAGGTCAAGGCCCAGAATCAGAAAATGAGTTACAGCAGACAAAAACAAAAACAATGAATGAATGAACGAACCTCTTTTAAAACATATGCGTAATTATATGAAACCCCATCTCTGCTTCCCTCTGTTAGTTCCTTAAAATTGCTTCAATTGATAACATTTTTATGTAAAAGTGGGGTTATATTGAAAGACAACCTAAGTCTTTTCCAGAAAATTAATGAACTAGTCACACAACCAAGGGAAAATAACTACCTTTGCAGGCCTTCTGGCCTGTCTTAATTTCTGTTTGAACTCCCTAGACTTTCTCACCTCAAACGAGGTATTTGTATGCAGTCATTGTTTATACAGAGAAGAAAGAAAAGGGATAGTAATATCAATTTGAAAGTTCAAAATCCTGTGTAAGAAAAGAAGAGATGGTCTGATTGGCCTAGAGAGGGGGACAGCAGTTCAGAGGTACTGTAACTTATTCTATCCTTTATTAGATTTGTGTATTTCACTGTTAAAATACACTGTCATAGTGGAATGCAGAAAGACATGAGAAGGTGGCCAGAGTGCTTGTGCCTTTGTGGCTTGTGGCTCTTCTATCTTGTTCTCTCCCACCCTTCTCTCTTCCTTCATTCACATGTACCCATATATCTGCATCTATCCATATACACCTAGAAGTCGAAATACATCTATAGATACCTATTTATATGTGTAATATATAAATAATCTAGTTATAAAAATAGGTAGACATATAAATATACTGTAAACTAACATGGCAAATTTGTGTAAGCTGGAATGGGAGGTTCAGCAGGCGAGCAGCCCAGAGGGCTCTATCAGAAAAGCCATCTTGTCTGGCTTCTGTGATAATCTCCGTGTTAAACTGGACCACACCTAGCGTCTTTTACGGTAGCCCTACTTTCAAGCAGAAGGGGTAGGAATGTAGAAAGGACTCTCTAAACCTTCTTGAAATGTTTCCTTCAGGGAACCCATCACCAGGGACGCCAGGAGCAGCTTCCAGCAGGGCCCAGGAGAGGCCGCGGGAGAGGACCCCTTCCCTCTCAGAGAGACGCGTCAGGAAACAATTCCAGGCTCTGATCTGGGAAGACAAGAGCAGGACACTTTTCTCTACTAGACTTCCAGCTGCTGCTTCTGAAAACAGAATACTCTGAGACCCTCCCCATTCCCCGCTTCCAACCAGAGTGATGAGAAGTTAGATGGAGAATGACCCTAAGGGATCGCTGCCCAGTTTTCTGGAGGAGGAGAAGGGAGTGGTAGGGACTTGCCTCGGGATGGGGATACCACGGCCGGCAGCGCGGACCAGAGCCCAGCCTGCCCCCACTCCCCCGGCTCCTCGGGCCCCGTTTCCTTCGCATCCCGCACACCCACCCTCCTCGCGAGGGCAGCGTCCCCAGCACACGCCCCAGCACCACTTTCCTCTGACGTCCGCCTCCGGAGCTCTGACGATCGCCCCCGCTGGCCGCCCTTATAAAGGGGACTTTTCCCAATACTCGATCGATTGCCACCTCGCCCCGCGCGCCCTCCGCCGGCGCCCACACCTGTCAACTCTGAGCTTTCCCAGGTTCTTGGAGACGCCGTGTGGGGAGCCGCCCTGAACGACCGGACCCCCTCCGCACTGCACCCCTAACCCACCCCGCACCCTCCCTTTCTGCACCCTCGCCCCCACACCCCTCACGGTTCCAGGGGGCGGCGGCCCCGGGTGGAGCGCTTTCCCTTGCAGCTACCACTCCAGGTAGGAGCGGAGCGGGCATTCCTGCGCCTAGGGGGCCGCGCCCTCGGAAAGGCTGTGGGCACCGAGCCCGGGCGGTTTTAGAGGGGAGGGACGCGGCATTTTTGCCTCTCGGTGGGATGCAAGGGCGGGTTTGTTGTCTGGCGCCTTTGCTGTCAGGGTGCAAGAGGCTACAAAGTCTGGGGGCAGGAGATGGGTAGAGGGGGGCGAGGAAGGGCCGCAGGGGGCCGGGAGAGCACCCGGCTGCTGCGGAGAGGAACTTGCTTGCTTGGTTGCTCACAAAGGCACAGAAGACCCAGCCCGCGGGCGCTTCCTTTGCCTCCTCTAAATCGCAGAGAGGCTGATTCCTTCCCCAAAAACCTCTTCACCCACCTGCATGGACAAATATCAGAGTTTTCTCCAGAAACTTGTGTTTGAGAGTTGGGGTTCATGGAACAGCCGTGGTTACGAAAGCAAAAAATAAATAAAAGAGAACAAGAATTTCAGAAGGTGAATGCTTTTCGAACTTGACATCTGTCTTCTAAGAGTCTTGCTTTTAATCGCTTTGATCCTTCTGTTGTGTTTTTAGGCAATCTTTTTTTGTCCTTTTCTTGTACGTATCATAATGGGGGGTGATGAATTGAATGAACGACATTCGGCGAAAAAGAAAATCAAGAGAGTGGATCCTTTAAACAACAAAAACATATTTAGTTACTACAGTAACTTGAACTACAGAAACTTGTTGAAAATGTGGAGTTTGATGTGTTTTTGAAATTGATTTTTCTAAACATTTTTTTCAGATATTTTCATTTCAGATTACTGTTGAAGCCATTCTCTGAAGTTTTTTTGAAAGGATAAAAGAATGAATAAAAAATTGATATATAAAACTTCTCAGAATAGTCCTTTATGAAACAATGTGAATAATAATTCTAGAAGAGTAACTTAGTTCCAAACCGCAAATACAGCCCTACTCTTTGTAAATGATTTGACAGTTACTGAGTTGAGATTTGTATGATGAGGCTAATTTTAAATTTAAAGCATGTATGAAACACAAAACGATTATGATTTCATTTGTTAAACTACATTTCCACTTTTTTTTTCTGTTTCTTGAAAACTTTAATGTTAAATTGTTAAATGAAGTAGGATAACATAGTGGACACTTACTGGTAACTGTCCATTTCACATGTGGTTTCGGTGTTGTACTCTTTCTGTGAGAGTCACGGGATCTCGCATAAGCCAGCTGGTTTATTCCTGGCTGCCCACATGTGCATAGTGCTTGACTGATTTATAATACATTCCTGTATTTTCTTCAGAAGTCTTAATGAAGTAGCCAGCTGCAGAAGAATCAGGATCATTAGATAAAAATGGCTTTCCATGTGGAAGGACTGATAGCTATCATCGTGTTCTACCTTCTAATATTGCTAGTCGGAATATGGGCTGCCTGGAGGACCAAAAACAGTGGCAGCGCAGAAGAGCGCAGTGAAGCCATCATAGTTGGAGGCCGAGATATTGGTTTGTTGGTTGGTGGATTTACCATGACAGGTATGTTCAGAGGCCGCCTGCTCCATGCTGTCCTTCCTTCCTTGACATCTGTGAGTGTTCAGCGTGTGGCTTCAGAATGACAATGCTTTTTGCCTGTTGGGGATTCTTTATGTTCACTAGTTATATAATTTTAAAATAATTTTCTATTCATTTAAAACTTAAAAATAAATTGGTTTCAACTCAGTAATACTTGAACAAAAATGATTTTATAATAAATCACTGGACTGAATAGCCATGAAATAAATCTTGGCTCTCTGGGCTGCTGAGTGGGTGGAAACAGTAAAAATAAAGAGGTGGGGGAATGGGAAGCTGTCCTAGTATTACAAGTTATGTATCTGCAAATTAATAGGCAGCATCTCAGCATGTCCAGTAATACATGCATAAAGTTGTGACTTTGAATTTTAAATAAGTGTCAATGAATACTAACTAGTGATGTTTTTTAATCTGCATAAATTTGGGGGTGATAATATTCCCAACTGAGTACTGCCCTATTTTAAAACCTAATTCTTTCATTTAATAACTAATTCCTCACAGGAAGACAATGACATGTTATGACTCCACAGCACTAATAAAGAGATTTCACCAACTTCGTCATAAAAGAGAAAAGCGAGGGCGTGTCCTCCTAGGAATCCCCAGGCCACCATCTGTAGCCATCTCTCATTTAAACCTTCTTTGTGTTAGCAGGAGCTAATATTCTTTCCTACTTTGCACTAAGGTGGTTCTGTTTAAAGGGTGATTTCTTTCTTTTTTATATTCTTCTTTGTCTTTGAAAATAATTTGAAAAACACCAACTTAAAATTACATGTTTAATATTTAATACAGTTGCACTAACAACACATATTTCATTACAGAGTCTTAGTAGAGTTTTTAAACATTTGCAACGTAACAGGAACTCTGAGTGTTCACTGGAAAAATATCCCATGGGAAATTATATCCAGTGATGCCCAATTTCAATCCTGAAGTGCAATTTTAAAATGATTCACCCTGTACATCAGATAATTTACCAAACGAGTCTGGAAAGAGGCCATCCATGTTCTGAACACCTTGATTTTGGCCATCTGAAACCTACAGTGTTTTGTGTGAACCATCAGTTTTATCTTTCAGACATTCACATTTTATCTTTGTTTACCTCTTTACCCACTGTACGTGGATTCATTTGGTCTTTTTAACAGCACTGTGATGAGGCTCTGGGGTTAAGTGAAGATCCAGGGTTACAAGGTTAACAAGGACCAGAGCTGCAGTCAGAGCCACACACGGTTCTCCGGTGGCCATGCTGGGGGCCACCCCATGCTGTGCTACATGCAACCCTGTGACTAGTTTCACTTAACTTCTTTCAAAAGGTGCACAGTTTGTAAACACTGTAGAAAGAATAAGAAAGTTGCTGTATATCAAAATATGTTGTTTATGGCAAATGATTATAACCCTCTATTGTTCTTATTTAATATTCTGTTTAACATGGCCATAAAAATATTTAATAATTTGTTTTTACCATTTAGAAGGGTTTTCTCCAATCTAAAACACTACTAGAATGTATAGAAAATATTTGAATGATGCTATATTTTATAAAGGGCCGTGGTCTTCCTCAGTTTACAAAGCTTTTTTTTTTCTTTCTCAGAACTCAAAATAACCTTGGTCAATATCATAATTCATTTAAAATCTGAACCATACTACCTAATCTTGTTGGACTGATTGATCTGGATATATTTTATAAAAAACCAAGATCAAAATACTGATTCTTTTAAAAATAAATATATTTTAAGTGTTTGTGTTCTCACTCATGGATCTGACGCAAAATATACAAACACGGAGAGCAAATGCTGTCATAGAAGAGGCTAAATTCATTTAAAAAGGGGGACTTTTAAATCATAGTAAGTAACCAAGTCCTCACTTCTATATCACAATAGTTGCAATAATTCAGGCACCAATTTTCTCTTTGGACAAGGGACAGTAGGCTTACACAATGACAAATGATCACTAATGAGCTTTGTGCTTATAAGATCATCAGACCATTTACTTCATGCAGTGAAACACTGAAGTGTTTGCAATTCCAGTTACCTAGTAGAAAGTTAAAGTGTCAAGTTCTCCGCCTGTGAGAATTCATTTCTTCAGGTCATAGTTGCACACAGAATGAATTTTTTTTTAAAAAAGCCATTTCTAAAATTTCAGCAGGGCTTAGAATAAGAAAAGCAAATTATGGCATTTGTTATTAACACTGGGCATAAAAGCTACAGCAAAGGTGGGAGCGATTGCTAAATATGTATTTGTCTTCAGAATTTTGTATATAAACTTTTCATTTGTATGTACTTAAAATTCCTATGTAGGAAAATCTTTTTATGTCAACCCTAAGACTCCCTCTTCTTTGCTTTGTATTATATTAAAAGCCAGATAAATTTTAGCATAAACAATAGAAACGTATCCTAGGTAGTTTTTTATAGATATTATTTCATTTACTTACATTTTAACTGCAAGATTTTAGAAAATTCATCAGAGTTAAATTTTATTTCTAACAGGATAGTGTAACCTAGAATTCAGCCTCATATCTGATAAACCACCTGTGACCCTCATAACTTTACGCAAATTCTACATAAGGATTGTTTTGAATATTTTGACCACACTGTAACCTCAAAAGGGCATAAAGAGCAAAGATTTGTTTTTCTCTTCAACATTAGTTTTTAAGCAAGGATTCAATATTCTATTATTTCCTCAGAGAAAATGGTACTAGCATTATATTGCCTATTTGAAGAAAATATTAATCTGTAGATAATTCTTGGCTCAAACCTGTCAAATCAAAACTTATTTTCTTTGGTTCTTTCACCGCCTTCCCTCAGCTATTATGCTATTGAAATTTTATTTATCTGAATAAGACATCTATAATTACTTCCTGTCAAATAGTAAATACCTTACTAAAAGGTCCATATTAGAATATAGAATTGCAAGTGCATATGTAGTTCACATTTTACATTCTTCTGAGTGCTAAGTAGTCTAGGCCTTAAGGTAACATTTAAACTCACTTTGGACACCTTGTAGTAGAAGTGTCATCTCGATTCTGTCTTCACTCTTAGTAGTAAATACAACTTAGTGGTGATGGAGGTAAGAGTTGCAAGCTTCGATATCCCCAGAGTGTTTAAGAAAAGACTGTATTAGTGAAAAGCACATTTCCACATACACATGCCCACCTACATACATGCATGTACACACACACCACTCCTGGAGGACAGTATAAAAACATCAATACAATTAAAATGGAAGGGCCTTGATATAAAGAAATTTTACCCATGACCTCAGACTATATAATATACAATATCATGAAAATGTTGCATTTTGAAAACATCTAGGACAGCACTATCCAATAGAAATATGTGAGTCACAAGTGTAATGTTAAATTTTCTACAAACCTCTAAAAACAAAAAGAAATAGGTAAATTAACATTAATAATATAACTTATGTAACTCAATACATTCAACATATGATCAATGAAAGAAAAAACATTTGAAATCTGGTGTATATTTTACACTCCTAAAACAACTCAATCCAGACTATTCACATTTCAGGTGTTCAATAACCTGTAGTAGCCACTGGGTTTGGCAGGCAGATGTAGGTATAACAGGCAAAGCAGTATCGCTCCCTCACTTTTCATTCTGTTTCAGCTACCTGGGTCGGAGGAGGGTATATCAATGGCACAGCTGAAGCAGTTTATGTACCGGATTATGGCCTAGCTTGGGCTCAAGCACCAATTGGATATTCTCTTAGTCTGATTTTAGGTAAGTGAAAGTGCAAATCTCAGTGACTCACTCTGTAAAGCATAAAGAACGAGTATAAACAACAAGTGGAATAACAAGTCAAACGCAGTAAATAACCATTGTTAAAAAAAAAAAAAAAAGAAAGAAAAAAGAAAAAGAAATATCCCCAGAGATTTCTAAGGACCTGTTACCAGAAATTGGTAAGTAGCAGAACACTAACGCTTAGATTATTTGATCTCTTGATTATGGAATATATTTTTAAAGCCTTTGATTCTGTGGCTATCAGCACAGTGAATTTCTTAACAAAATCATGTATTATTTCTCTCAAAACACGTACGGATATATCATTAATAATGAATCAACTTGAAATGTACCTGTATTTCTTTTAGCAAGTCAAATGACTAAGAGGTCAAAAGTATTATATTACAGAAGGTACCTCATTTTTTGGCACTCAAAGGCTTTTATTGAATCTGCACTTATTCAAAACATCTAAATGCTATGTTGGGTGGTAGAAATGCATTAGACATTTAAGTGAGCAATGTGCTGGTTCATGTTTTTTAATTCACATACTTCAATATGGTCCACTTGTCCTTTGGACACATACAATGGTAAGTGTGCTAAATAATTTATATTAGGTTGCTAAACCTCGTATTTATAGTAGGTTGGTACTCTGTGCACATTGTATTTCAGACTGTTTCCTTAATCCATACAGGTGTTCTGAAAAATGCATTTCCCTTGAGAAATGTCAGCATAGTAAAAGACTATTATATTGCATGTTTTAAAAAAAAATTTCTCTGAAACACTTGTTTAATTTTTTAGGTGGTCTGTTCTTTGCAAAACCTATGCGTTCAAAGGGGTATGTGACCATGTTAGACCCGTTTCAGCAAATCTATGGAAAACGCATGGGCGGACTCCTGTTTATTCCTGCCCTGATGGGAGAAATGTTCTGGGCTGCAGCAATTTTCTCTGCATTGGGTAAGGACCAACTAAGTTGATCTAGCTTCACTCTATAGTTAGCTAAACATCAGATATACAATTCTACTTTCTTCACCCTCGGCTCCTTTTATTAAAACCATATACTGAGCTGTATTTACATGCATCAAAGCTTAATGGAAATTCTGCATTTACTTGCAAGACGGTGGCACAGATTAAATGAAACCTCAACTATACTTTTTATACTTAAATTGGCTCATTAGAGCAATAACTGTGAATTATAATGATCAATTTGCTTTTATGAGTCATATATGATTTAGAGCAAATCATAATGAATTAAGCACAGCTAAAAAGAGCAATTTAAAGGGCTCATGAGTCAGGGGTTAGTGAGAATACTAATATATATTTTTGGCGTAGAAGAAATTTAAATAAATGATTTATATCTTAATTTCTTCCAATAAGTGTTCTTTCTGTAAACTGAGACCTTTTAATTCCCATTGTTTTCCCTGTAATAACTGCCATGTTAATTGGTATAAACACAAATATAAAACTAAACCCCCAAAACAACAGTGTTGCATGCTATTCTAAAAGCACTAATATTTTTAGAAATGTTGACTCTTTAAATAAAATGTCTAGTTAAAAACATATATAAAACAGAGTCAGTTCCAGCAGTAAATAACATTCCTGGAGAAGTGAGATATCACCAACTCTCTACTGACAGAATAAGTAAATAACGTAAGTCTCACAGCAGAATTGCAACCTTGAAATATTTCAATAAACTGATATAAAGCTCAATGTTATGGTTTAGTAGTAGAAAAATTAAGTATGGCAGAATGTAACAAGAATTTCCCCTTCTGTTTAAATGTTTTCTTAATAACTTATATGAGAAGGCTTGCCCATGCCTGAGCATCTCCTCATCTCCAATCGAATCTTAGAAACACAGGCTTAGAGGTACCACATGGGGCCAGTTGAAAACTTTGGACCTGACTGAGGCTGTTGAGGCAGCTGGGAGATGGAAGCTCCCCATAAATGTATGCACTGCCCCCTCTTCAGAGCATCTAATTTCATACTGCAGCTTACTCGGGTTTTTCTTGATTCCCAACTATAAAACACAGTGACTATTGTGGAAAGAAGAGTAGTTGATAGTTATGAAATACAGTAAGAACTCAGTGGAAAATGCTTCACTTCCCTGGTGCCAGATAATAATATTCCACACCCACTGCCACTCTTATATGCTAATGAAATTATGTGTAAAACTACACCTCACTTTCCACCTGACTCTCGTTAGCCGAGTAGCAATGGGGGGTTGTTTGCCATTGTTTGTAACTCTAGGAAATTTTAAGAACAAACTACCTGCTGAGGTATCCAGAAAAGGAATGGGCTGAGTATGTAACGAAATATAAAACATTCACTCATTGAATAAAGATCAACTTGTATAATAGAGCCCTGAAGAAAGGGTAGAATTAACAAGCTAATGCTTCTAAAGTATTTTGGAAATATAAAATACAGTAATGAAACTGTGAACTTTGTTATAATTATTTTGTATATATGTGTGTCTATGTCTATGCCCATATTACAATATATGGTCAGTTTAAGAATGGGGATGCATTCTGAGAGATGCATCAGTAGCCAGTTTTAATGTGTGAACATCATACAGTGCACTTACATAAGCCGAGTTAGTAGCAGCCACTGCACACACAGGCTACATGGTATAGTCAGTTGCTCTTAGGCTACAAGCCTGTGCAACTTGTTACTGCACTGAATGCTATAGGCAATTGTAATGCAATAGCTATGATGTCCTTAAGCAATAGGAATTTTTCAGCTTCATTATGATTTTATGAGATTATATGTATTTGTGGTCCATCATTGATAGTAACATTATTATGTAATGCATGACTACATATGTGAAATACAGTATTGTCTGTATCCTTCTACATACTCCCATGAATACATATATCAAACAACATATATAATAATATTTCTGCTATTGCTTGAACTTTGTGCTCTGGTAGAGTGTATGTGTGTGTGTGTGTGTGTGTGTGTGTGTATGTGTGTGTGTGTGTGAGTGTGTGTGTGTGAAGTAGTTACTTACTGGGTACTATGTACATTATTTGGGTAATGAATGCACTGAAAATCTAAACCACCACTATGCAGTATACCCAGGTAACATAATTGCACCTGTACTTTTTAAATTTACACAAATCAAAAGTAAAATTTGGACTTAATTAAAATTTAGTGTTCATTACAAATAATTTTATATATTCAATAATATATAAGATCTGTTATCACCTTACTGTGAGTGTGCATAGTTCACCATTGAAACATAGGAGAATCTTAAACTGTCTTCTTGGTAGAAATTGACATCTTACAACTTTTTTATTATTATTTTTTAATTGTACTTTAGGAGTTTGTACATACAACCACATTGCCATGTATATACCTATGCAGGATTGTTGCAGAGGTACATACATGGCAATGTGGTTTGCTGCCTCCATCCCCCAGTGACCTACATCTGGCATTTCTCTCATGTTATTCCTCCCCAACCTCCCCACCCCCCTGCTATCCCTCCCTTGGCACCCCCCAACAGACCCTAGTGTGTGATGCTCTGCTTCCTGTGTCCATGTGTTCTCACTGTTCAACACTCACCTATGAGTGAGAACATGTGGTGTTTGATTTTCTGTTCTTGTGTCAGTTTGCTGAGAATGATGGTTTCCAGGTTCGTCCCATATTCCTACAAAGGACACGAACTCGTTTTTTATGGCTGCATAGTATTCCATGGTGTATATGTGTCACATTTTCCTTGTCCAGTCTATCGTCGATGGGCATTTGGGTTGGTTCCAGGTCTTTGCTGTTGTAAACAGTGCTGCTATGAACATATGAGTGCGTTTGTCTTTATAATAGAATGATTTATAATCCTTTGGATACATACCCAGTAATGGGACTGCTGGGTCAAATGGAATTTCTATTTCTAGGTCCTTGAGGAAGTGCCACACTGTCTTCCACAATGGTTGAAATAGTTTACACTCCCACCAACAGTGAAAAATCGTTCCTATTTCTCCACATCCTCTCCAGCATCTGTTGTCTCCAGATTTTTAATGATCACCATTTTAACTGGCATGAGGTGGTATCTCAATGTGGTTTTGATTTGCATTTATCTAATAATCAGCGATGATGAGCATTTGTTCATATGTTTGTTGGCCTCATATATGTCTTCTTTTGAAAAGGGTCTATTCGTATCCTTCTCCCACTTTTGGATGGGTTTGTTTGTTTGTTTTTGTAAATCTGTTTTAGTTCTTTGTAGATTCTGGTTATTAGCCCTTTGTCACATGGGTAGATTGCAAAAACTTTTTCCCATTATGTTGGTTGCTTGTTCACTCTAATGATTGTTTCTTTTGCTGTACAGAAGCTCTGGAGTTTAATTAGGTCCCGTTTGTCTATTTTAGCTTTTGTTGCTAATGCTTTTGGTGTTTTAGTCATGAAGTCCTTGTCTATGCCTATGTCCTGAGTGGTTTTGCCTAGGTTTTCTTCTAGGGACATCTTACAACTTTTTAAAGAAATGTATATTTATACTTCTAACAGCTCAAGTTCAGTGGATGTTCATAACTTTACAGCGTATTTATTTTATAGCTTCATTATTAGACTAATATTTCCCAGCAAACCTCAAAGTATTACTTTGTTTTACTTACAATTGATTTAATTATTCAGAAAATATTTTAGAGAAAATTTTATCTCAATTTTAATAGTGATAATGGAGAGGTGATTGACTTCTCTAATATCTCTGAGTTACAGTTAAGTGACAGCATCTACTAGGACCCCAAATCTTTGATATTGTAGTCAAGTAATCTTTATTTCATAATTGAACTTTGCATAATTCATGATATATAGCATAGAAGTATTATTAAAGTAGAGAACTGCACCAAAAGAAGAATGACAGTGTTTCAAGTAAAGTTTCAATTTGAAGTAAGTGATCTCAGGAAAAAAAAATGTTTTCAAATATCTGTTAAACAATAATTTAGTCAGTTATTTAAAGTCACTCATAAGTAATTGATCTCTCTTCTTTGTTGTCATTTTCCAACTTCTTACTAGATTTTTCTTTTTAATAGATTTTTACTCCAGAAAATAATTTTATTTTATCACCATAGCAAAAGCACTGAAAAAGGTTTCTTGAAAAATATTTCTTACTGATATTTTAGATCAACTATCTTGTATTGATATAGTTCTTCTCCAAGGGGTTGTGTATACTATTAGCATGCTGACTGATGAAGGAGGGTAGTGTGTAAGACAGCTCAGCTAGCTGCAACTGATGATACATAAAATCGCAGTATCCATTACATGTATGGATTTAATAATGTGATGTGTAAACTGTATAGTTTTGAGAACAATAGGGAAAGGACTAGTAAAGCAGCAAGTGAATTACAAACTGTCAGTCCAAGAATCAAAGTGGTCTAAACTGGTCATACCTCAATATGTTCAGTGGAAGTATATGGACCAAAAATCACAATAAACAATATTGTAAAGAGAAACATAAATTTGATTTCTAAGAGAAGTTTAAAATTTGATGATGAAAATTACTTAAAAATATGATCTTCAAATCTAAGGCTGTTCAGTATATTGGCATCCTAGGAGCAGGACTGGTTTGTTCTACCAATTAAATAAAGTAAGAGTGAACTGTCACAAATTCAAGAGGGAGAGAATGATTAATAACATTTATCAATTTAATAATTTGTTCCTACAAATTTTTCTCAATTCTTTGGTGCCTTTACCATTTTTCAGCTGTCACAGGCTAGGAGGGGCAGAGTGAATACAAAATAGCAAATGAGTATTAATTGTAAAATGTGGAAATGGGTGATCATGTTTCTCAGAAAGCCTTGTGTTTTTCATAGATATAACTAATATATTCCATATACAGTTATGTGCCATGTAATGATGTCTTGGACTGCATATATGACAGTGGTCCCATAAGATTATAATACCATATTTTTACTGTTACCTTTTCTATATTTAGATATGATGTTTAGATATTCAAAGTTACCCTCATGTTACAGTTGCCTACAGTGTTCAGTACAGTAACAAGCTGTATGAGTTTGTAGTCTAACAGCAATATGTGATACCACGTAGCCTAGGTGTGCAGTAGGCATCAAGATTTGTGTGTGAGTACACACTGTGAGTTGTACAACAATAAAATTACCTAACGACACGTTTCTCAGAGCACATCCCTATTGTTAAGCAACACATGGCTGTATTTGATTAAGTCAGAGTTCCAGAGAGTGAAATTATTTTGAGTTCTTATAATGTAATTAAATTTCTCAGTAATTCAGGGCCTTCCATAACCGTACCATGGATCTGTCTGTCTGCCACATAAGTAAGTTAGCAAAGCAGTAATTTCAGAAAGCAAAAGTATGACTCTCACTGACTTTATTAAGATACAAATTTCAATATAAAAATTAACTTTAGGTGTTATCATCCATTGCCTTTCATATGACACAGAGGAAAATGTGGGTTATCATTGAACTTTCACTATGTCCTTGTACAGACAGCAGAATCTGTTTGGGCACCTTGACCACAGCACTCCCTTGTTTGTTTCAGGAGCCACCATCAGCGTGATCATCGACGTGGATGTGCACGCTTCTGTCATCGTCTCTGCACTCATTGCCACTCTGTACACCCTGGTGGGCGGGCTCTATTCTGTGGCCTACACCGATGTCGTTCAGCTCTTTTGCATTTTTGTAGGGCTGGTAAGTGGGAGCACCCACTGATTCTGCACCTTTTTTTCTGTAAGAGATAATGTATTTTATATTAACTCATTAAAAATTAGTAGAAATGTTATTTTCCCTCATGAGTAATACATACTCATGCTATATGAAATTTTGAATTTCTCCATAAATTCATTAGATGAAAAACTAGTCCTTTTGATAAAATTTGACAGAAAAGTGTGCCCTCCATTGAATTGTTAGAAAGGTCTAGGTCTTCCTTTCCTTAATGCCTATATTTGATGGAAACTTATGCATGATCTCCTTTGGGTATTTAAGGCAATCCATTTTCCTCTGCAGAGGTAAGAAAATTAAAACCCTAGTGGCAACCTGTAAAAGTCTCCCTTTATGTTAGTTGGTTAACCCTAAAAATGCTCATAAGAAATAGACATGATCCATTTGGAAAACTGTGGATTTCAAATATTAGTTATCACTATTTGAGTTTTAAAAACAAAGAAAATTCTTAATTATATAAGGTACCAAAGAGATTTATTATTATTGCCTTTATTGTAACTATGAGACATGAGTATTATTAGCACTATATTAAAAGCACTTCTGTGCGTCTGAACACACATTAGTCAATGTTGAAGAAATGTGAAGAGTACAGTTATGCATGTAATACTCAATACCTAAGATATATCAAAAGAAATATAAAATCTGGTGTGTCCATGCTGTGCTAGGTTTATCACAGGTTCACATAGATTACATCATCATATGCATATATTATCTCAGTTTTAGATTCTGTAGGGGCAATGCCCTTCTGCCAATGCCTTTGCCATGGACAGAGCAAGCTAACACTAGAGTTCATGATTTATTTTCCCAAGGATGGTTAAGTACTCTTGATTCTTCTCATCTTTATTTATTTATCTTATAATGTAAAGCATTTCACTATATTTTACTTTAGACACAAGACACTTAGAAATGAAAAATGAAGAAGTAATCTCATGCCCTTCTCTCCTTTTTATAAACTTTCTAGCATCTCCAATAATGTCCTAGAGGAAAAATTTTAAAAATGAACTACAATTAGATGTACAGTTTAACTATAAATTTACATATACTAGCAAAGATTACAATATTTCCTCCTTTTTTCTTAGACATTTTATTGCATTTCATGGAATTTCATCCATTCATATTGTAACTAAATATGATAATATTTAATTTCCTTAAGGACTCCCACTATTCTGTATTTAAATTATCAAAATTAAGTGAATCGTGCCGAAATTCTGATTTTTCCTTAGCATCAGCATAAGCTTCCAGAAACAAAACAGGGAACACAGAAACAAATCCCTCTTCAGAACATCAGGAGCCAGGTTGGTTTGGCAGTGACAGCTCTCATAACTGATGCACTAGGTATTCTGAGAAACACAATCCCAGGGAATGAACCTATTATTGATGTTATATGTGATTTCTCATTGCTTTGTATGAGACTAGAACTTAAAACCCACGGGTGCATAAATCAAGTATACAAGTGTAAAAATGACAGTGCAAATATGTTAGAATATCTTTTCTGCCACAAAATGTAGCCAAATTGATAAGGAATGAATTTCTATTGTTTACTAGTTAAGGCCCTATTGAATTGGCTGAGTAAAGGACTAAATAACGTTGTTTTCCAAATTTTAATTGCTCTATGAGCATACATAAATAATCAACTTACCCTTTAAACCATCTTCTTTTTTCAAATTCTCTAACATTATTGATTTTATCATCACTCTTGGAGCTCCAAAACTGTAAACTTGAGGTTTCTCTGTTCATTTTCCCTCTCTGGCCTCTCTCCTCCCTGTAATGTAAGGGTTGTTGACTCGCTCTTCATACTCCTTTTCAGTACCGATATTCTTTCATTCCCAGTGTCACTGCTGTACTTCGGGCCTTCAAATAGGTGGAATCGAAATCACTGACCACTGTCTCTGACTCCTCCTTTTTGCTAACCTCACTGTTGATGTCTATGTTATTAAATTTCAGAAGAAATTCCACAGAAATCTTATTAAGACTCAGAAGAAATTGTCTAGCTTCCAGTTGCCTGCAAAACAAAATACAAATTCTTTAGCTTGCAGTTCTTCTCCACACAACCATCTTCATTTCTTCAATTTCCCCAGGCTACTCCCATGCCAGTAAAACCTGTCACCAGCAGAAGTGGGTGAGAGTGTACACACAACACACACACACACACACACAGAGACACACACACAAACACACACACACCATATATTCTCCTACTCTTTGCCTTACTTCATCTAAACATCTCATCCTTCAATTCTTTATTCTTCTTTAGTATTGGGCCCATCCTTGAGGGCTTATATTTCATCCATATATTTCTCAATGAAATATTTTCTTATTATTTTAATGAATGGATATGTTTCCCTTAATGAATGGATATCTTTGCCTAATTCACAGAAGACACAAAAGTGTGTGTGTATGTGTGTATATACACACATATATACATGCACACACTTCAGAAGTGTGTGTATATACGTGTATGTATATATACACACACTTTTATACGGATATATATTTCAAATATAATTTTTTAATTTTTTATTATATTTAATTATTATTATTTGTAGAGACCAGGTCTCACTATATTGCCCAGGCTGGTCTTGAACTCCTGGACTCAAGCAATCCTCCCACTAGCCACCCAAAGTGCTAAGATTATAGGCATGAACCACTATGCCTGGCCATTTTATTTTTTTTTCTGAGACAGGGTCTGGCTATCACCCAGGCTGGGGTGCAGTGACTCCATTACTGCTCACTGCATCCTCTGCCTCTCAGGCTCAAGCAATCCTCCCACCTCAGCCTCCCAAATAGCTGGGACTACAGGTGTACATCACCACATCTGGCTGATTTTTATATTTTTTGTAGAGATGGGGTTTCACTAAGTGGCCAAGTCTGGTTTAGAACTTCTGAGCTCAAGCAATCCACCCACCCTAGGGCTCCCAAAGTGCTGAAATTATAGGCGTGAGCTGCTGTGCCTGGCCCTTATTTATTTTTTTGAAATACAATTTTTTTTTTTTTTTTTTTTTTTGAGATGGAGTCTTCCTCTGTCACCCAGGCTGGAGTGCAGTGTCTAATCTCGGCTCACTGCAACCTCCGCCTTCAGGGCTCAAGCAATTCTCCCGCCGCAGCCTCCCAAGCAGCTGGGAAATGCAATTCTTTATTAGAACTCAAGTTTGTGTTATCCAACATTTAACAGAAGAGGAAAACAAAAACAATCCACACCCCCTGCCCTCTTCCACTTCTGGGGCTGAAGTAAGGGGTTTCCACTTTACACACACACACACAAACGCATACACAAGGGGATATACATATATATCTCTGTATATCTCAATAGCTACCTATTTACCTATGTGTGTGAGTGTGTGTGTGTGTGTGTGTATCAATAGACAGATACAGACAGACAAACAGACAGACAGAGATAGATGGTTGAGAGAGAGTGTGCACGTGAGAGAGATTGGCACACATTTCAAATATAATATTTTCTTCCTAGAGATTTCTGGTGGCTGCGGCTATAGTTTTATGACATGGTATAATCAAGCATAGAAATAGTCAATGTGTTATTTTAATTTATCTAAATTAGTATTTTATGATGCCCAACAAAAAACAGAGAACATGATTTCCGGTCCTTCTCTGTCTGAACTAGAGGAACTACTGAGCTGTGCAGTGTGTGAGGTGCATAAATCTTGCATATGTCAGACAGTTGAAAACCACGGCCTGGGTGTGCAGTGTCACTTTCTGTTGCAGTGGATCAGCGTCCCCTTTGCACTGTCACATCCTGCAGTCGCAGACATTGGGTTTACTGCTGTGCATGCCAAATACCAGAAGCCGTGGCTGGGAACTATTGACTCATCTGAAGTATACACTTGGCTTGATAGTTTTCTGTTGTTGGTAAGTAATGCTCTTACCTGAAGAATGTGATCTAATCGTTCCTAAATCAAATTTATTTTCAAGATTTTCATATTCATAGTGAAAAATGTGCTTGTATGCTCATGGATATTTCCAAATTGAGGACTCTCTATTGGGAGGGTGGAGCCAGGGCCTGACTGTGGTGGCTGACAGTGTCAGGGTGGAGAACAAACGAGGCCCTAACACAACAGCATGAGGTGTTCTGTGTGGTGTGTCCTCATTTCTGTTGTGATGTAAGTCCAGGAATAACATGCCCTACCCCAGGACTTTCCCCAGCTGGAAGGCAAAACCATGTGGAAGCTTTATTATGTGTTTTGTATTAAGGCATGAAACCCAACTTAAGAAGTAAGTCTCTCATTCACTCTTGGATTACAGAGTAAGTGAATTAGAGGTGCTAGAGGCCCTAAGTCAGGTGGGTTGGAAAGGGAGGCATCACCCAGGAAAGACGCCAAGAGGGAAGCCCTCAGGAGCCAGAGGAAGCTGGAAAACAGGCAGAACCCTTGGGCAAAGGTACAGGCACTTCGAGAAGGACTCTGAAAAGATAATGGCTGACCCCCTTGAGGCAAGAGGGAACAACTAGAACTGACCAGATTTTATGACTGTGCTAATTAGAGGAATTAGGTCTGAAAAAACACAATGTATTTGATTTCAACATAATAAATAGATTATGGCAGAGTGTGATGGCTCACCCCGGTAATCTCACCCCTTTGGGAGTCTGAGGTGGGAGGCTCACTTGATGCCAGGAGTTTGAGACAAGCCTGGACAACACAGCAGGACCCCATCTCTACAAAAATTCATCTCTTAGAAAAAGAAATACATTACTTTTCATAATAAACTTAAAAGGAAATTGGTTATTTTTGTTTTCTCTGTAGAAGATTGGCAATATTGTATAACTTTGTGATCACGGCATATGGCTGAATTTTGGCATTACCTCAACACTCAAAGTAACTATGTCTTTTCCGCTCAACATTTTTCTAGTAAAGGGCAGGAAAATGTGGGGAAAATATATGCTTCCAGCCGTGGATTGGAGGACTTCTTTGCCTAAGGATTGTTAAGAAATCCCTTGGCTCTCATTTTTCTGGAATGGCTTAAAATTATGAACTGACGAAGTAAGAGTACATATGTATATGTAACCATACCTGCACAGTAGAGGTGCTCATGTTACATCATAGAGATGATGAGACTTAGAGCAATTAAGCAGTTTGTCAATCATCACACCATTGTCTGAGTTAGGGTTTAAAATAGAACATTAAGACCTCACAGTCCTTTCCCCTATACCACACTTTTGTCTTCAGACTACTCATCTTTAAAATAAGACATTATATAACATGATTGCTAAATTTCTTCCAGCTCTAAAAAATTATGTGACTTAGTTATATTCATGATTCAATTGTAAGACAAGTTAAAATGAAATAATGGATGTTGAATAAATGAATGTACTATAGAAATCAGACTTGAGATGGTACATCAGTGGTCTTGATCTTCCAGTTTTCTTTTCTACGTCCCCTACCTGAAGATGACTTGTCAAGTCCTGCTAATGATACTGTCAGTGTAACTCCACTTGGTCACACTTGCAACCTGCCCACAGTCCCCATAATAGCTCTCTATTAGGTAGACTGCATTCCTTACCTGGTCTGCTATGATAACCCCCACTAGTCTCCCTGATGGCAGCCTGCCCACCTCTTACTCCCCCATCCTCACTTTCCATATTGCCACCTGCCTTAGTCAGTTTGGGCTGTTGTCACAATTTACCATAGACTGGGTAACGTATAAACAGCAGAATATAATTTTTATAACTCTGGAGGCTGGAAATCTGAGACCAGGAAGCCAGCATGGTGAGGTTCTAAAGATGGCAGTATTCCAGGTTGCAAATTGTCCACTTCTTTTTGAGCCCTCAGATGGTGGAAAGAGGGTGAGAGAGCTCTCTGGCCTCTTTTTAAAAGGGTACTAATCCCATAATAAGGGCTCTATCTTCCTGACCTGATTATCTCCCAAAGGGCCTACCTCTGAATACCATCACATTGGGATTAGAGTTTCAACATGTGAACTTTAGCAGGACAAACATTAAGTTCATTGCATCATGAGAGCCTCTGTTTGTAGACAAAGTCAGGCCTCACCTTACATAAAAATTTCTGATGGCCTAAATGTCCAGGATGATGAGTATGTGATTTATGATGTATCAATCAATATAAGTTATTGACATAAAAGATGTTAATGATACATTCATAAAACAGGTCATAAAAAGAAAGGAAAATGTTGTGGAAGAATATAGACTTGAGAAATGGGGTTATGAATTTTAGAAATTTTTCCTTACTTTTGAACATACATGGCGTTTTTAAGAAGGAGATTGTTCTGATATCTACATAGCAGACACTCTGCTTGGCCCAGGTGAGATCGTGATAAGACAGACGTCTCCAGGACCCAGAACCCAGTGGGAGAGATAGGCAATTAACGAAACCTCAATACACTGTGCTATGACAGGCTCATTCATCAATTCATTCATTCATGTAACCAATATTTATTGAATATTGACTTTATGCCAGGAAGAGAAGTAACAGTAATCTAGCTAAAAGTACGTTTCCAGCTTCTCCTCCAACCACTCCCTCACACACTGACCTCTCATAATACCAAATACCCAGTGGTCTCAGCTGCCTGGTTGTTGTTGTTGTTTTCCTTTTTCCTATTAGTTTCTCTCTCAGGCACTCTCTTCTCTCTCCATCTCCACCTGGAAAATGCTCTCAAAGTTGATGGACAATCTGCACGTCATTTCTGCAGGTTTTCCTGTTAACATGCAGCTACCCTTTCTTTCTTCTTACCACCTCTTTCTCATCTCAAATAATTAATGGTTTCTCATTTTAATTCCCATACAGACCTCTTTATATCATGCAGCAAATTGCATTATAGTTTAAATATTTTTTATTATATATGCTCAATAAGAAATTAAAGCACATTCCAATATAGGTATGTGTATCTATCAGTTGCTTATATATTCTGTAGTAATGTATGACATAAATCATTTAATAAAAGCAACCATACAATATTTAGGTACAAAGTAAATGAGCATACATAGAAGTTCTAGTATTTTATTTGATGCCGGCTGTATTGCCTTGAGCACTCTGCAGTGCTCACTTTGGAAAACACCACATACATTGACTCTTCCAGTAGAAGGCAAGTTCCAGGAAAAGAACCATGTCTTATTCATCTTTGTGCTGTTACAGTCATTATATTGCCTGGCACATAATTAGAGTGTATAAATATTTTGGGGTTGCATTGATTCAGATTAAATGTCATACTTTCAAAATCTTAATTATTTTTTGAGAACATTTTATGAGGGTTAGAACCACCAGATGATAGCAAATTGAAGGCTTCTAGGGTAGTTTAAATGCAGTTCAAAATAGGTAAATTAATGAAAAGAAATAATTGCTCTATGTAATTATAGAGAAAAAGAACTTCAGGAATAATTGGAAGTTGATGATAACATTGTCTTAGTTTAATTGGGTAACAAAGCATCATAAACTGAGTGGCTTATAAACAACACAAATTTATTTTTCACATTTTTGATGGCTGGGAAGTCCAAGATCAAGATGCTGGCAAATTCAATGCCTGGTGAGGATTCACATCCTCATAGAAGGCACCTTCTTGCTGCCTCCTCACATGGTGGAAGGAAAAAGAAAACTCCTTTAGTTCTTTTTTATAAGGAATCCACCCTTATGGGCTAATAATCTCCCAAAGTTGTCAACTTGATACCTAATACCATAACCTTGGGGATCAAAATTTCAATGTGTGAATTTGGGGGGAACATAAACATCAGACCATAGCAAAGGAATTGATATTTGTGGTTACATGCCACATTTTTTAAATACTACTAAGTTGTACTTTTGACTGTTGTAAATGTGATTGCAATAAACCTCTTTTTTAAAAAAAAATGGAATACATGTTTGCCTCTAGTTCACTCTCGATTCTTGTGTTTCTCACACAGATGCTGGGTGGAATCCCATGGCAAGCATACTTCCAGAGGGTCCTCTCTTCATCCTCAGCCACCTATGCTCAAGTGCTGTCCTTCCTGGCAGCTTTCGGGTGCCTGGTGATGGCTCTCCCAGCCATACTCATTGGAGCCATTGGAGCATCAACAGGTGAATCTCCTGCAACTTCACCGCATGTGCCAGTTAATTTACCAGTCCCCACCCAGACACCCTTCCGTCTCACTTCCCTCTTACCTCCACATAGTGAATTCTTTCTCATCGCATTCATATATATTTAGTTTTCTTATAGCATTCAGCAAATTGTATTATAGTTCAGCAGTCTCCAATTTTTTTTTTTTTTGTAGAGATGGGGTTTTATCATCTTGGTCAGGCTGGTCTTGAACTCTTGACCTCAGGTGATCCACCCACCAAAGGCTCCCAAGTGCTAGGATTACAGGCAAAAGCCACTGCTCCCAGCCCCAAATTTTTTTGATTTCTCACTCCACTATGAAACGTTGGTGAGCACACCCTCCTCCCAGTTTTGGTCTATTTATCCATTGTTTATACGCACCCCTGTCAGCAGTGGATCTCAACCAAGGTGCATGCTGACATCAACTGGAGAATGGTGGGGGGATCTTTTAAAAACATCAATATCTGGCCTACTTCACAAGAATTTTATTTTAATAACAGAAGATAGAGACAGACACTAGTGTTCTTTTAAAATCCCTAGGTAAGTTGAAAGCTATAGAGTCACAGGCTTACAGAAGTTTACCTGTCATCCTCATGACCTCCATAAAGATTACTTTGAACTTGAGATTTCTGCTTTACATTTTTAGTAGTTTTTACTTAGGAGTTTTCTTTCTTGAAGAAATCAATGAATAAATGTTTAGTTCAAGACAAACTAAGAAACTAAATCACGTACAGAGTAACTTACCCAAAATTGGTTGTAAAGAAAGAACATTACAAAATATTTATCTTCCTGTTAGCCTCTTTGTAGAACATGTTCAAAAGCTAACCTTTAATTTAATTAAATATATTAATTACTCCTGATCATTATGTTCCTGTGCCGTAACTTTTAAGAACACTCAGTGAAAATATATCATGTTAACCCAAATTCAAAGGCATCTTCTAGGTAGAGGTAATAAAATAGATTAAAGTTCATCTTTTGCCCTGTTGTATTTTGTGAAGGTAATCCAGGGTTATGTTCCTATGGCAACTTTGACTTTCAATTAGTTGAGTCATTTATTGGATTGTTTAACTTTTAGGAGAGCAATCCTGGTTCATAGTGCACACTCTCCATTCCAGTTGTTCATCCATGAGACAAACACTTCAAAAGATGTAGAGATGACTGACAAAGGTGGTATGTAGTGTTTGTCTTTGAAAAAAAAAAAAAAGACAGTATTTCTCTCACAAGCGAAAAACATCTGTGTGTGTGTGTGTGTGTGTGTGTGTGTGTGTGTGTGTGTGTGTTTATTGTAGGAACACAGGCTAAGAGAAACAGCATTAAGCCTATTTTTTATTGGATTAGATACACATTCTTGTTTGTTATTTCTGTTATCATAGCATCTCGGTTAAGGCCATAAAGTTGCCTGCATGTAAGCATAGCTTTGGTGCCAATTGTAATAGAACATAAGGGAAGAAAAAGTGGTAGGATCCAAAGAAAACATTTCCTAATTGGTCCTATGATCATGATATTAAAGAAGTTCAGCAAGTAAAAAGCCAACAACGCTAATGTACATCTAAGGATTCCATTGCTACCACTAACACGTGCTACCACTAACCAGTAAAGAAGCTATGTATTCAAAGGTAAACCTATGTTTCAAGTCTTCTTACCCTACCCACATCCAAAACTTCCTCAAAATTTCAGCCGCATGACTGTACTTTTTATTCAATAAAAAGGGACTGTTCTTAACCTAGTGAAATTCTATGCAATATGGAAATACTTGGGAGGAAATTAATGCTGAGGCAGCTTCAAAACCAAGTTTATATACAGAAAGATGATGGCTGAGAATAGCCCCACTGTTGTCTTTCTTCATTTACACATGGATAACTGAGCCTTAAAGAAGAAACAGTGAGTGTCCCACCACATTTCCAAGTGGTTGAAGGAATACTCTAGAATTCTGTTTATGAGCATTTGTTTTCTATGATTCTATACAATGCAACATCATCATTGCAGAAAAGAAATATATATCTTAACTCTAGTGTCTGTGCAGCCATTATGAATAAGACTAATTATAAAACCAAGAGCCTTTAGAAACAAGGAGATATAAGACATTTCCACTTGACTAGCACGTGGACTTCACACCTAAGCAGACTAATGTTCATGATTCTGAGTTTATTTCAAAACAACCTAGTAAATAAAATGACCCTAGATAGATAAAGAACATTTGGCTTCTTGGTTGTTGTAATGGTTGTTGATTCTGTTCAACAGACTGGAACCAGACTGCATATGGGCCTCCAGATCCCAAGACTAACGAAGAGGCAGACATGATTTTACCAATTGTTCTGCAGTATCTCTGCCCTGTGTATATTTCTTTCTTTGGTCTTGGGGCAGTGTCTGCTGCTGTTATGTCATCAGCAGATTCTTCCATCTTGTCAGCAAGTTCAATGTTTGCACGGAACATCTACCAGCTTTCCTTCAGACAAAATGTAAGAATTTTCTTTCAACCTGTAATTGACTAGCATTGCTCTTGCTGCTCCTGGTGTTATATTTGTTGTATATACAGTGTTATGTATTAATTTTCTACATCAAATCTGACTGTACTTTGATTAAGCATATGAGATTCAATAACGAAGTATACTTATGCTGAATGGATGCTATCAATACATGACATTACTCATGTCAAAACTGAAGGAAAAATATCGATATAATTATTTCCCAAGAGGTACAATCATAGGGCTATCATTTAACCTTCTTGTCTTTCTGATGAAAGAGTAATGAAACCTAAACAATCCAGCAAAACTATTAGTATAAGTAAATTCTCTATGATGCTGGAGAAGCTTGGTAGAAGCAGGGCATGGCAAGTTGTTTGACACATATTTGTGTATTTGACACGTATTTCTGAACTGTTTTATATTTGCCCTCCCAAGTCCACCTTTGCAGGAAAACATCCTCTCAATTAGATTTTCCTTATTGAATCAAAGTGGTTGCAAAACAGCAAGCTTCTTGTTTGATTAAAGCTTTGCCTCTCTCTAGGTTTTGGTTGACAAAACAATCCCAGTGTTTTTGCTTTTGTTTTTGTTTTGTTTTGATTTGATTGAATTTTTGTTTTGTTTTGTTTTGTTTTGTTTTCAATTTAACCAAGGAACTCCTTGGACAAGGCATTTTCTTTCTTTCTTTTTTTTTTTTTTTTTAATTTTACTTAAAGTTCCAGGATTCATGTGCAGAATGTGCAGGTTTGTTACATAAGTATATGTGTGCCATGGTTGTTTGCTTCACCTATTGACACACCCTCCAAGTTTTCTCTCCCTGCACCCACCACTGCCCCCTAACAGACCATGGGTGTGTCATTCCCTCCCTGTGTCCATGTGTTCTCATTGTTAAACTCCCACTTATGAGTAAGAACATTGGTGTTTGGCTTTCAGTTCCTGTGCTAGTTTGCTGAGGATGATGGCCTCTAGCTTCATCCATGTCCCTGCAAAGGACATAATCTCATTCCTTTTTATGGCCACATAGTATCCCATGGTATATATGTGCCACATTTTCTTTATCCAGTTTATCATTGATGGGCATTTGGGTTGGTTCCCTGAGTTTGCTATTGTAAATAGTGCTGCAATAAACATATGTGTGCCTGTGTCTTTTCAAGGGCATGAGAAGGTAGTTAGTTAGCCTTAAGGATAATAGCACTTCTACAAAGAGATAAAGTAAGGATAGCCTATGCTCTGTCAATGCCACATAAGAACTGTTCCCTAATATGAATCCTCCCTTGCTTTATTATCCTTCTCTGACACCATGTTAGCTCATCCTACCTTTCCTCCTATGCATTCAGGAAAAGGTTCAGGTAGCCTATGTCATGCATCTGGTTCACAGAAACCCCTTCCAAAAGTCCACCCAGGAAGCCACCTTGATTGTTTGCTTTTGATACTGTAGCTGATGTTAGGTTTTCCCATAGATTAAGCCATTTGAACCCAGGGAATTCTTTAGACCAATTTTGAAGCACAAAATGTGTCTCATTCTTTGTCTAAATGAGCCAAGACACTGTGCAAAAAGTTGACACTGTGGCAATTTCTTACAGGCTTCAGACAAGGAAATCGTTTGGGTCATGCGAATCACAGTGTTTGTGTTTGGAGCATCTGCAACAGCCATGGCTTTGTTGACAAAGACTGTGTATGGGCTCTGGTACCTCAGTTCTGACCTTGTTTACATCATCATCTTCCCCCAGCTGCTCTGTGTACTCTTTGTTAAGGGAACCAACACCTATGGGGCCGTGGCAGGTTATGTTTCTGGCCTCTTCCTGAGAATAACTGGAGGGGAGCCATACCTGTATCTTCAGCCCTTGATATTCTACCCTGGCTATTACCTGGATAATAATGGCATATATAATCAGAAATTTCCATTTAAAACACTTTCCATGGTTACTTCATTCCTAGCCAACATTTGCATCTCTTATCTAGCCAAATACCTATTTGAAAGTGGAACCTTGCCACCTAAATTAGATGTATTTGATGCTGTTGTTGCAAGACACAGTGAAGAAAACATGGATAAGACAATTCTTGTCAAAAATGAAAATATTAAATTAGATGAACTTGCACCTGTGAAGCCGCGGCAGAGCATGACTCTCAGCTCAACTTTCACCAACAAAGAAGCCTTGCTCGATGTCGATTCCAGTCCAGAAGGTTCTGGGACTGAAGATAATTTACAATGACCTCATCTAAATAAAATACTGCTTTTGCAAACAAAGCACTATAATAGGGTAGTTCTGGAGAGATGATTTGCATAATACAAAAATATCCTAACAAATAATGTTCAGGAGGATAAAAATTCATATTAAGTGCAATTGCACAATACAAGCCAAGCTAGCAGGAAGCACCTATGAAAGCAACAACTTTCTTTCTCATCCATAATAGAGTTGATTTTGATGCTAGACAGTTTTGCTAGGTATAAAAAATAAACAAAGCCCCACTTAGAGAAAAGAGAGCCAAGCAGAGTATTTATATTTATTACAAAAAAAGGGAAGTAGATATGAAAAAGCCTAAGGAAAAGGAAATTGGATAGTTTTGACACAAACTTTGTGTTAATACACTGATGAGTCCAGTTTAATTATAGCATTGAAGCTATGAGAATAACTTCAGTCACTCCCTTGAATGGTGCAATGAATTAACCAGCTGATTTTTCTTAGTGTGATGATTAATCCTTTCTTTCATGTTCTGAGATATAACATTTGCTGAATATGCAGTTTGTTATTCTTTTAGTAATGGCATGTAATATTCTGAGCACTGGCAAAGCAAACACAAAAAATATTGTATACTGGCATTTATTTATGTGAAAGATGATAGGAAGATAGAACCCACCTTTGTAGAGGAGAACTGGGCTGATTTGTATGTTTCCATAGCTACTATATGCATAAACAAGAGTACCTGAAGGATTATTAGCCGATGTTAAAGCAATAAGTTCATTAAGCAGAAAGTAATAGGAAGAACAGTATATTTTTATCTTCATCTGAAGCATATAAAGTTTTGTCCCATGATAAAATAAGTAATATGTAAACTAGTATGTAAGTTAATATTGGAAGTGAAATTGAGCCTTATGTAAGGAGAGGTAGCTACACAGCATCAGTTATGGTTAATAAGAGGCACACTGCTAAATTAACATATATTTTATTGAATACTTATTGTGGGAAGCCCCCACAACACTTTCTGATAGTAGTAAAATGAGAAAAAACAAACTCTACTAATTTTTACATATTCATTGATAGGAAGGATTCAGTGTTAAGGGATCTACTCTTTGGCATTTTTTCATATAAGCCAGTCTTAGAGACTAGACAAATAATTACAACAAAAAGTACGTAGTCAATTTTAAAATGCAGAAGGAAGCAGAAAATAAAATAAGTCCTAAAGGAAAGAAGCCATTAAATATTTGATGTCTATATAACATTCATGAGATTGGTCATTAAATAATGTTTTGCTCCTTTTCTGGTGTTACACACACACACACTCATACACACACATGAGTGTGTGGGTGTAATGGTTTGTGTCCATTTCAAGTGTTTTCACACCAGTCACACATTATAGAAATAATTGGAGCCATGTCTAAAACAGCAGAGTTAAGCGATGAACTGAAAACTGATCAGGCAATCTGATCCCATAAAGAAAGTCAGTCTGAATTATTGAAACTAAAGAACTTTTTTCAAAAATATTTCTTTTTTGCAAGTCATGAACAAAATAAACTAAGTGTTCAGCATTAAGAATAAAAGTTGTATCTTGACCCTAGAATTTCTAAGTTTTAATTGTGATTGTTTCAAAGCATCAAGTAATACATCTTTATCATTAAACATGAATTTAATGTCTAAGATCATTTTTAAAAGATAATTTTTATTTTAAAATCATTTTAAAATTAAATAATTTTACATGTTGTCTCATATTTTCAGTGCTTTTTCAAAATTTAATGGCAAATATTACACTGCATTCAAAATATTCACTGAATACCATATATATCTAAATGAAAAGAGAATTACTTTTACTCATCTATTTTCTCAAAATATATTCAGTACACTATGGAGTACATGGAAGGAGCGTATTTTTGGAACCAGTAAGTATGGGAGTGCATGATTCTCAGATATTAATTGAGAAAAGAGAAATGGGCAGGAAATTCATTAAAGAAAAACTGCAGAGATTAAAACATTTAACACCTAAAAGTAATTAATAGCTGGAGGGAGACCACGATTCCCAGCAAACATATTCCAGATGCACCATGCTCCTCAGCATGCTATCTGAACACTGACTTTTATCCATCCTGTCACCCTGAGCATCTGTCTCAACCTGCTAAGGCACAGGCTTCCACCATGTGCATCAGGAAACACCTCACTCATAATGTCACAGAATGCAACAGGGAGGCATAGACTCTCTACAGGTATCTTTACATTGTACCATTCTGTTGGGCAACAATTGTCCCATCAGCCACATTTAAGTCCAGTGGGGGAAAAAAAGATTAACAGTAAAAATGTTTTCCATTTAACTCAATTTCTAACAATAGACAGACACGGGGGCAAATGTTTGCCCTGTTCAAAATATTGAAACTAGATAATTTCAATAATTTCAGCCTATGAATAATATTATATTGTTTAGAACCCATTATTCCTCACCTACTTTCGAAGTAGATATATAAAAACTAATTTTTTGTTAATCCCCTAATGTGCTAAATATTAGCAAGATGATTTTTAAGTACAAAAAAATTTAAAGAACACAAGAAAGGAAACAACAATCACAAAAGATCTTCACTTAACATATGTGTGCATAAATTTCCCCCCAATTTCCAAGATAGTTATATCACAAGGCTGGGAAATAATGTGGAAGAGTAAACTTTGTACCCATCATTTGCTCTGTTTTGACATAATGAGTAATGCAGACATTTATGTATTCTTCCAGCTTCAGTCAATAGACTTGATTTTCAAAATCTGCCCTCAAATGAAACTAAAATAAACAAAACATTTAGACACTGGCTATATTAACTTTAGAAGGCAATATATGTGGATAAAACGTAGAATAAAACATATATTTTATTTTCATACTTTTGATATGATTGTTACATATTTCTTGGGTAATTTAAATACTTCTCTTTCCCACACATATTCAAAACAGCAAGCTTGTAGCTGGACTGCAACAACAACAACAAATTGTTTCACGCAGTATCAAAGTACAAATTCATTGCTACACCTACAAGTAATGAATTTTATGTGAATATGAAATGAATATATGCTTGAAATAAGTGAATCTAATATAATGGCTATTCCTCTTTTTATTTGGAAATAATTAGCATTATATTTTAACATAAATTATGATTTTTTTCTGTTTTAGCCTTCATGTAAATTTACACTGGTATGATGTACAACTCATTGTAAGTTTGCCACTTGATAGATGCATATAATAATTCCAGAACATATATTTTTGTCTGTCAAAATATTATATAAATTTATGCTTAAAATAGTAGATTTACAACTGTGTAAATGTTTTAAATGTAATGATATTAAATTGTACTGGTCAATTTAGGATATTGTTGTCTAAATTTGGCTTTTTGGGGTCCTCTCTTAAACTAAATATATATGGTGCTTCAAGACAATTATGCAATGAAATCAAAATAAGCTGTCTCATTACTGGAGGATATGCAAATGCTAAGTGGAAATGCTGTACTACATGTAAGTCTCGGGGCAATATATATCATATCTCAAAAACAAATTTAAATTGTTTTCTTGGAAAAGACATTCTACCATTGTACACAGCTCTTTTGTAAATCAAAGAAATCAATAGAATGATATCCATTAAGAGTCTCATGCACTACTGACTGAGCCAGCCAGGCGACTCCAATTATACTCACTCCAATCCCATAAAGAATATCTCCATTTTTCAAACCGAACAGCTGCCTAACAGTTGTTACATGAAGTCAATCACTAAGAGACAAACTGGCTGCCACTGTGCTCCAACTATGTGCTCCGTGTCTCTCATCTTATTCTCTCAAGGTGTCTTTAAACATGTAGTTGTATATACTCTCAGAAGAACTTTGGCCTTTCGTGCCTTAATTATAATAACCAATAATGCCTTTGGAAGTATACAGGACAGAAGGGCCTAGAATGAGTGTAGGGATGACTCAAGGAAAGAATAAGTAGGTATGTCATCGAGTTGTCTGCCATGGGGACACACTTCTGAAGATTATACATTTTTGTTTTATCACAAATCTATAGTGTGGGGGAATTATTAAGAACCAGAAAAGAGACTGTATCAGAATACAATATTGGGCCTCTGGACGTTATCTTCATTTTACCCATTGTATCTAGAGAGTTTAAATTTGATCATTAGCTTTCTTCTCAGACAGACATTCTTGAGAGAGATCCAGGGAGCTATGGGATAATGATAATTATTATTTCTACTATTTTTATACCATCACCTAATGAAACGTTCCAAAACAGTAAAAACAGCCATTGTATCTTATTTAAATTCTCTAAAGTCAGAGAATTTGTGGTGATCCCACTTTTATTTTTGGTTGGAAAACTATAGTTATTTATTTAAAAGAGGTACTGCATTATGTATTTTGGAGCCAAACTGCTGTGTTGATTTATCAGTTTGTCATATAAAGACAGTTAAAAAGCATACACCAAGTAAGGCTAAAAACCTAATGATAGAATTTGGAGCAGTAGGTATTATTGAAAAAAGTAATTGAAAGCCTCTGGTAGTGCAGTGCCACACATGAAGCTGAAGAGAACACTGTAGTTTCCATGTCTATAAAATGTACAATAGCTGAATGAGCAGTTGCTTAAAACCATGACTAACACTATGAAATTCTAGAAAATAAAAATGAAAACCCCAGGTCATCGCAGAAGTTTTCCCTTCTTAAATTGAACTCTTCCCTCCCTTTTCCTCAGCATTGAAGGAATTTAGCAAGTGTTAGCACCTAAAAACAAAGAACAGGCATCTTGTTTTCTCTTCCCCACTTTAAAACCCAAAATTCTGAGGTCCTGAGTGGCTGGCTGAAGGGTCTCCGAATCATCTGGAGACCTTGTGACTCAGAAAGCCCTGAAGGATACAGAAGGATGGTGCCAGGAATCACATTCTCTTTCCTTGGGGCCTGAAAATGGATGGAGCTGGCAGAATTATTGAAACACTTTGAATCTATTTTATTTTAGTAAGGCTTCTTATTGAAATAATCTTTAACATCTTTAGTATCTCTAAATTTTCAACTATGACCTTATTAGGAAACCTACTTGGGGATTGTAGCATAGCTTGGCAGGCAGTAGCTGAGAGAGAGTGGGACCACAGAACAAGACACACATGGCTTCACACAGCAGCTCAGCATCAGATTGAGGGAAACAAGAGTTGTATGGTCTTAGCCAAGTCACTTAACCTCTGTGAGCCTCAGTTTCCCAGATGTAGATGGTATTTACTTTTTATTAGTAAATTATATGATGCCCACAAGCTTACCTGAAACCATAACTATAACTTTCCAACTGGGAAAACTGTGACAACATTTATCTAGCTTTTGGGAAATCATTTTGACTTGGAATCTTGTATTCAACTAGTTATCAGCGTGGATTCTATGTTAAGGATGAAAAAAAAAGGGATATGTTTTAAAATACATTGACTTATAGGTCATTTTTGCTTTACTTGGCTTTTCAAGGACCTCATCAACAGAAATTTTATTCTGTGCTGCATGCGCCCAAATGGTGCTTCATATATGACCACCGGTTTAACTAGTAGTAGCTAAATCCATGGTAAAGTTTACCTCAGCATTTATACTGGAATTTTGGGGTAATATCACTTATTCAAGAGTACTTTGTGACCAGAGTAAAGAACAGAAAGGGAAAAGCCTGTGGCAGTTTTGCAAGCTGGGGACGTCAGTGAAAAATTTCTTTAGCTTAGTTGCAATGTGTATTTCTGATCATTTCATTAGAAGATATCACATGATTCAAATGATTCTTAAAGAGGTAATAACAATGACAGGATATTAAAAATTATTTTTTAATGTGTAAATCATCCAAAGTTGGCCTTCAGAGCTCATAAATGTGTATGTTTAGAGTGGGTTGGGGGTGGGAAATATGTGCTAATGGGTTCCAATAAAGATTAACATGAAATATGAAAACATCAAGGTCAGGCAAGTATTGCAAACCACATTACTCTATGTAGGTTAAAATGTCCCAGGCACAGATGATGGCCATGGGCACAAAATGTAAGCCAGGACTTAAGTGCAAGGAACAATTTGGGTTGAACCTATGCAGAGCAATTGCTGTCTCAAACACATTTGTTTGTGTTTACAGAGCTTGAACATACACAATGAACGCTACATGTTCTGGTTTCTGTTAATCAACATTAAGTCCAAATTTATCCTTAAGAAAAAATCTAACCTACATAGTGTTCTATTTTATAATAACTTCCTTTTTACATTTTCGTTTGTTCAGCAACATTTGCATTAAATAACAACATATGTAGTAAATGTTTCCCACAGTTCGTTTTCCAAGAGAACTACAAAGTCCCGGAAAAATGTTTTTAAAACTAGAGATTTTTAAACATAATATAAAATAAAAAGACCTGATTATGACTTTGTGCACATTTGGTGCCGTCTCCTATTCTTTTCGCATCTATTATCACAGTTATTTAGAGGGACAAAAAAAAAAAAAAAAAAAAAATCCTTGCAAGTAATTTTAGTTCACTCCATCTCCTAATTAAAAAAAGACTTTTTAAACAATAAAATCTGAAGTAGAAGCAAGTTTTCAACATTCATTGGTGGCCTGTTAGAGTCTACTTTGAAGATTCTTCTTTATTACTTTCATCTTGTCCAGACCCTAGGTGTTAGGAGATGTTGCCTTCAGTCCTGGCTTTCCTCCTGTGTGCTCTTGGATGAGTTAATTGATCTTCCCTGATCTCAAATCATGTTCTATAAATGACATAAATTTCTATATAGACTCTTTAAGGCCTCTCTCTGACTTGAAATTTAACCCTATGTTGGTCTACACCTCCCCTCCATGTCAGATCAGATGTAATTCATTACTGATACTGGAGCTATTTGAATTATTCCAAGATCTCATCTCCTATTCTCTCCCTCACTGCCACTGCCAGCTGGTTAGTGATACCATGATACCATCTCCCCTAGTGAATTATCCATTTTCTCCTGCTAGGAAATAGAAAGGGAAGGGTGGGCACAATACTTTTTTGGCAAGAAAAATAACACTCATTTGCCCCCTCCAAGTCCTATTTTCTTACCATGAGAAATGTCTATTTGTGAATTCAGCCCATCTTGTGATGTTAACAACATACAATTGAGTCTCACTGTAAATATACCCTTCACTTTGTCCTGATAGTTGGCAAAAGCCTAAGGTACTGAACAGCCCCAAGTTACCCAGCAGGCACCCCCTTGGAACCACTGACCTATCCTAGCAGCCTCTGAAATATCTGCCTCCTAGTCTATGTTGAGCCTTCGAAGACCCATAATACCCCACTCTCTCAAAACTGGGTTATTTTTTACGTGCGTTTCATCCACTTACTTGCATGTTATTCAACAAATGCTTATTGAAAACATATCATGTGTTGTTCTAGGAACTAACGATACACATATAAATAAGAAAATTAAGATCCTTTTTCTCATGGAGTTTACATTCCAGTTAGGAGAAGAAATGGAAGGAAGAGGGAGAAAGACAATAAAAACACAGCTGCAGAAAGTATTACTGATGAGGAAAACAAATGGGGTGTCGTGGCTGTTGGGTGGGTACTGAAGTGTCATTTTAAATTAGGTGAGCATGGAAGGCCACTAGGAAGAACTGAGTTTGATACTGAAGCTTGGATGACAGAACAGAGATAAGAACTGAGTTTGATATTGAAACTTGGATGACAGAACAGAGACAGGTGCACACAATGAGGGAGGGGAGGGAGAAGAATGGAGAAAACTACGACTTCCATCATTTCAAACCTGTTTTTTATGCAACCAGTTCATTGCTATTTTAGTTGGTTATCCTAGATTCTCAGTATATGTATCTTCTGACAAGCATTCTTACAATACTTCAAGTCACCATACTTCATCTTAGTACGGCAGAATTGACCTTGTGGTTATAATCAACATACCACCATCCTCCCAAGTTATTCATCTTCTTTCTTTTCTTCAGTCATAATATGGCCTTACTTTAAATGTCTGGCATCAATTCAAATGCCAGTTGGAGAAACTTGAGAAAATACATCATTAAATTATAGGATTGAAGACAGGGGAAAGAAAATGAAAGCATGATACTGGCTGGGAAACAAATGTAAAATGGAATAGGAGACAGAGAACAAGGCCAGCACTAGGGCAATGACGAGGTGCATGTAAAGATCAGAATGGTGGGAAGCTGAGGCAGGATGATTGCTTGAGAACAGGAATTCAAGACCAGCCTGGGTAACATGGCCAAACCTCATCTCTACAAAAAAATTTAAAAATTGACAAGCATGGTGTCATGAGCCTGTAGTTCCATCTACTCAGGAGGCTGAGACAGAAGAATGGTGTGAGCCCAATGAGCTGTGATCTTGCCACTGCACT